GAATTACGGGGAAGGAGAAATTGATGTGCAAGTGAGCTCTCATGCTTGCATTATCATGATTTTTAATCATGAACAAGTTATTTTTGAAAAAAAAATTATGTAATTTTTGGTCTGCTCCCCATGAGAAAAATCACAAGTGGTAGCAAGCCCATTCCCTTGGCCTTGGCTGGTGCGCACGCACACACAGTGCGTGCACGCACCAGCAGCGGCAGAGTTTCCCTTTTCTTTTCGAGCAAAAGGCAAGTAAAAATTTAAAGAAAGGAAGTTGCAGAGGCGCGGGCGCGCTAGGAAGAGGCGCAGCCGCGCGAGACACGGGCGCGGGAACGCAGCCATGTCGCGTGGTCGCGCACCTGGGCAGTGCCGATATCCTATTTCATTACTTTCTTCTTTTTATCCATCATTTTCCCACAACCTCCTTCTTCCACGCACGAACCTTATTCTCACTCTAAAGAACTGAAACCCAACCTCCACTTCTCACATATTTCATCATCAATTCATTGAAAATCTATCAAAAATCAACATTTTCCTTCTACAAATTCATCTTTTACAACAATAATCATACTAATTTCTTCCATTTTTGATATCCAATCTCTATCCTCCATTAAAGATCAAATTTGGGACTTTTCGATTTGGTGAAAACTGGTGGTTAATTCTTGTTCAATCTTGCTTCTAGTATGGTATTATCATCTTCTTAAACTCTTATTTTCATTTTTATATCATATTTTAGCAAGTACTTGATTGTTTATGGTTGTGAATAGTAGTAGTATGTGTTTCGATGAATTTGTTGATTGAATGTGATATTTGGTTTATTATTTGTGTTGATTGTTGATTGATTTTTACTCACATTGTGTTGTTGTATGTTTGCAAAGCAAATTTTGTTTAATTGGTGGTGATTGTGAGAAGTTGAAACTTTTGAATATTGGTAGTAAGGTGTTGTTTGTGTGATGGGTGTTAATGGTTAAGGAGTTGTGATTTTGGTGTTTGGAAGTGTTTGGTGGTATTTTTGTTGTGTTTGTGGCTTTGATTGATTGGCTTTTGATTTGATATGTTTGGGGGAACCACAATGTCGAAGATTGCTCGAGCCTTTTCTTATAAGAAACGAAAAACTAACATCACAATCGAAGAACCTTCTTCAAACCCCTGTATTTCCCAAACACAACAACCTACTCCTTTACCTAAGATAAAAAATCAATGACCCAATCCAAAAAGCTCAATATGCCAAGCTAAAAAAGAACCTATCCCTTAAAACCCTCTCAACACTACTTTCTACAAGACATGATCAAATTGGGTGTTGATCAGGATTTGAGGGAATTGTTTAGCAATCTTTGCATGAGCACCTTTGTGAGCACATGTTACCGTACCTACCTTAAGCAACCGTTGGAATTTTTTTCTACGGTTTCATGTGAGGCGGTAGAGGATGGTAACTACCGGGTTTATTTTTAACTTTTCAACATTCATCATGATCTTTCTCTTGCCGAGTTCAATGCGGCACTCGATCATAATCCTGGGACGAATGTCTTGAATCCCGAGTTCTTCTACTATTAGTATGACCAAAAGTCTTAGTGGGATAATATATCAGGGGAAGACGATTCCATTACTTGGTATGCCACCATATGCAAGGTATTCAAACCCTGTCTAAGGAACCTTCATAGGCTTTTGGGATATTCGATAATCCCTAAGAAAGAATTAGGAAAGAGGAGTTAATTGGAGCTTTGTATACTTTGATTGGCTCTAGAGAGGAGTACCGGGGTCATTTGAAACTTAGGGTATATGTTCTTGAGAAATTGCATGGGGTTGCAAGATAGGGAGTCTGGGGAGATTCCTTGTGGTAGTATGGTTACGAGGATCGCGATCAACCTTCATCTTTCCCACTACTTACCCTCTTCTACTCCGGCGGATAGTTCGAGAACCCTCTACCTCGACATCGCACAATTGAAACAAGTGCAATTTTTGGCCAAGAATGAAGATAATGAGGTGTTTGAATGGGTTAGGGAGAACAAACATTGGTTCTACCTCCCTAACCCCTCCTTGACTTCTATCCACCGAGAGGATGTGCCTAATGTGGGGCATGTACCCTTGAGTAACCGCCTCCCACTATGGTGATGAAGAAGAAGAAGAACAACAACAACTACAACTACGATGACAACAACCACAACAACAACATCAAGAACAACAACGTCGCCGATTTTCTAACCCCGATATGGATGCTCTAATTGCACAAATGAAAGGGATGCAAATTAGATTAGAAGGCAGGTACGACCAAGACTTTGAGGAAATTTTTCACCAAATGAAAGGCATCTCAGAGATGCAATAAGGTATGATTCTCCAACAACAACATTCATATGATGCGAGTGTTAACCGTGGGGAGGTCTCCCCCTAGATTAAACACTCATATTTTCCACCCCAACTTGGTTCTATACCATCAAGCGGGTACCCTTATTGGCAAGGACACGTGGGGTCCAACACCGTGACTCGCTCATTCCCCGACGTGCACTGTAACTACGATTACCAAGTTCCCAATGGCAGCTATTATAGAGTTGATCCTAACTACCCCTATGTTCACCATAATCATCCACTACCTCTTGCTTTGCCCGAGAAATATACTCCTCTTGCCCCTTGGAAAAAAGACAACTTCAAGGGGCACTATGGTTGGCCACTCGGTTACACCGGGGGATGGTATCCTTATGGTCCCCATCCGGGTTTTCCTATGATGGGGATGGCCATGATAGTGTCAGGCCGAGTGGTATCTAGTTCCCATGTTTTAGGCCTTTTTCCTCCATCCCATATTTCATGTTATGCTTGCTTTGTATTGATGGGATGGTTAGATGTATTCATGTTTCGCTTGGGGGAAATTTATTTCATTAGGGGTTTGTCTCAGTGGCCAATATTGTTGTTGTGCATTGGCTTGTCTACTATTTTCCTTGATGCTTGATATAATTGCATGCCTTGGTCTATTGTTGATGGTTTTTTTATTGTTGTTTCTATGAGATTTTAATGTCTATTCTTTCTCTTTTGATAATGTTGTTGTTGTGATGATTCTATGATGATGATGATGAATGTTATTTGCTCCCATGAATCTAAAGCCCTATTATCCAAAACCCTTGAATCCAAATCCCTTAGGTCCAAATCTTTTTGTTTAAGTGATTAGTTTCTATTTTAGTGTATAGTTCCTTTAGTTTTCTTTGCTTATTATTACTCTTTGGTAGTTTAACTTGATCTTTTATTGTGGTTTCCTTTTATTTAGTTTTGCTTTCTTGTATTTTGTTTTGAAGTTACTAACCGTTTTCTTTGTTTATAGCTCTATTTTCTATTCTTCTTCTCTCTTGGATTTGAAGATGATGCAATTGATTCTTAGAGCTTAATGAAGGTGGTTAATATTTTGCCTTATTTTTATTAGCATTGCTTGGAAGCCCTGTGAGATCCTTCTTATTTTCTTTCTTTTATTTCTTTACTTTTTTTGGATGCATAGATTAGGATTAGTTTTAGGAGAAGTTGAACGGTTCAAGGATGTATGCTTGTAACACCTTAGAGTGTTTGGGATCATTGGCGATGTTGTTAATAAATCACTTGTATGACGGTTGGGAATTACATGTTATACTTGCATCTTTGTTCCTTTCTTTATTTACCTACTCTTCCTTTATCTTTGCTTTCTTCTTTTTTTTTTTTCTTTACTTTCTTTTCTTTTCTTTTCTTTTCTGTTCTTTCCTTCTCTTTCTTTTTGTTTTTGGTTTATATAAAGTTTTTGAGGCTTTATTCACTACTACAAAGGCCTATGGAACCACTCTTAAGGCACCGTATAAATCTTGGGTTCTTAGATTAAGAAACCTTATAGTAGAGATATCAAGTTTCTTAGATAGCAAATAAGAAACCATGTACAACAAAAATTCGTCTTCTTAGTCAAAGAAACCTCACACGAGACATTTCCGGTTTCTTAGATGTTAAAATAAGTAAACGTACATCAGCAAAATTCGGTTTCTTAGAATTTTACTTATTATTTTATTTTATTTATTTATTTATTTTTATTTCATGATAATATAGAGTACATATAAGTGACATAACCCTCATTTCCACTTTTCCAGCCATCATCCGTCATTTTCCATTCTCTCCCATCCTTCATTCCTTATTCTATCAAAACTTCAATTGTTCATACTCAATCTGTAGAATCTCTTATCCTTCTCCGTGAGACAACTAATGTTTTTATCAGTCATCACATCTAGACCGACAAAAACTATATATAAGATGAAGACTCACAATCCTTACGACAAACGCCATTTGAAAATCGCACATCGTAATATACATAAGTTAAAAGATTTCATACAAGTAATTTTTTCTAAGTATATTCATGAATGTACCCGTAGGTGTACGGGATATACCAGTAGAATCATAATATGCCGGTGAAAGAGTGTCGTGCAGTTTAAAGCCCTCGTTAATCATTGAACAATTCATGTCCTTACCGGCATTAGTCTCTACCATGTGGAGAGCTGCTTCTCGGAACGTGGCATGTCCCTCTGACACGTGGAGAGTTGCTTGGTGCCGCGTAGGCACCTGCTACTTACAAGGTTGGTGTGCCACCTATCTGTATAGGTGGCACCTGATTGGTTGTGTTCCTATAAATACCCAAGCAAATCCTCATTTCAAAGGTAGAATCTCTCTCTCTCTAAAACACTTTCTCTCTCTTCTTTCACTTTCTTCACTTTCTTCTCACAAAGGTACTGACTTTAGCATCGGAGTGGTTATTCCCGGATAACCCCCGGGCTAGCTAATCTGTATTGGATGTGTAGGTGAGCAATTGGACGGTAAACCATTACCAGCCCTCAGACATTAACGGAAGCAGAATCCAGCAGGAACAATTGGCGCTAGAAGGAGGGGATAGTAATAACTTCTATCGTCCAACAGGACCTCTCACAGTCATGGAATGAAGTAAGGAAACTTTAGTACTAGTGCCCGAAGTTGATAACCGGCAATATGACAACACGAATAAAACCGTACTACCAGAAATCATGGTCGAAGATGAAACTGATCTCCTTCACGGTAACACAATGAACATGCCCATAACCCCTTACTGTAGTAGAGCATTAACCCTAGATCCCTTGGAAGGGTTTACCCCGGAGGAGCTAGAGATAACAGCCAAGGTCATGCGGGCTATGTCTAAGAAAAGAAAGGAAGCCGAGTTAGCGGCAGGGGGAATGCGGGATGAGGTACCGACAAAGCCTCTGATAGTGAACTTGGAGAGTCAGTTCAATCAGGCGGGACAGAAACAACCGTGAAGAAACCGGGGCCGAGAGACCACACCGGTCGAGCGCCAACTCACACAAGGCGCCCAGGTGGGGGATTCAGGTTCTTACCAGCATGAGGTTTCTAGTGGCTTGGAAAGGCGGGCAGTCAGGGCGATCATCAGGCCCAGAATATCTCCGTTCACACAAGAGGTACTTGACCAACAAATGGAGAAAATAAAGATGTCGTCCTGTACGTATGACGGTAAGAGGGACCCAAAGCAGTATGTGGCTGCGTTTGAGAGTCACATGTTGCTATATACCGACACCGGGATGCTGTGTGGTGTAAAGTTTTCCCTACGACTCTTACCGGCGCAGCTTCGGATTGGTTCTCCAATTTAGAGCCGGGATCAATTGACTGCTTTGAGACCCTGGTGGAGTTGTTCACATGTCAATACATAAGTAATAGTGCAAGACAAAGGACATCTGGCGAGCTCATGGCTATTCAGCAACGAAAGGATGAGTCGCTCAGAGATTTCATTAGACGCTTCAACAACGAGGCTAACACTATACCAAAATTGCAGCAAGAAATTACCGTGATGGCATTGATGAATGGGCTAGGTGACAACGACTTCAAAAAATATATGTCGCGGAAGCCTTTCCCAAACTTAGGGGTACCATTTTCCAAAGCTCATGAATACATAAAAAGTGAAGAGCTGTTGAAAACGAGCCGTCAGATATCGTCGGCAGAGCCCTCCAGAAGGCAAAGTGATAATAGCATGAATTCTCAGATGGGTGGGGTAAGCAGGCCGCTGCCGCAAGGCCAGCAGAGATCCGGAAGGCCGACAAGGGGATTGGGTGGTTATAGTAGTTACACGCAGTTAAACACCCCGAGAGCGGCAATATATTCAGTAAACCAGAATAGAAAAGATTGGAGTCGACCGGCACCGATGATAACGAAGGGCCGGGACGTGAAGAAATATTGCATGTTTCATAGAGATGTTGGTCATTACACTGAAGAATGTGTTCAGTTAAAAGAGAACATTGAAGATCTCATAAGGAAGGGGCGATTATCCCAGTATCGTACCCAGGCATGTCCCAACCGATAGCAAAATTCACAGCCTAGGCAAACCGAGTACCGAAAGCATGGAGATCCATCAATGCACGATGATACTTACATGCAGAATCATGCGGAAACATCTAGACAGGGAGGTAATCCGATAGGGCGCAAAATAACAATCGACGTTATTATGGGAGGGCCGTATATGGAGGTTCCGTAAGCGGGGTCAAGAAGAGTTTGTCGGCATACTGGCACCTAGTGAACGCTTTGAGCGTAGAGGAACGACCTCGGCCTTCTTCCATGATTTCGATATCATTTTCGGAGGAGGATGCTAAGGGAATAATTTACCCTCATGATGATATGTTGGTGCTGATATTGACGGTAAATGGAGCAGATATCAAGCGGGCACTCGTTAACGGCTGAAGTTCCGCAAATATCCTGTTTACTAAGGCTTTTGATTACATGAGGATTGGCCGAAAATACTTGACGCCAGTGTCCTATCCCGTGATAGGTTTCAACGGATCGACGGTAAGACCTAAAGGTAGTATTGTTCTTCAGGTTCGAATGGGAGAGGGACCGACAGTAAGAGACGTCATGGCGGAGTTTTTGGTGATTGATGTGCCATCCGCTTACAACTCCATTGTCGGTAGGCCTTTAATTCATGACATGCAAGGTGTGGTCTCAACGTACCACTTAACAATGGTGTATGTATCCAACGTGGGAATGACAGAGCGCGTACGGTGTAGTCAAACTATGGCAAGAGAGTGTTATGTATCAGCACTGAAGCAGCTAGGCCGACAGCCAACTTGTGAATAGACACCAGCCAATCGAGAACGAATTCCCTCCACACATGACTTGGCTATGGAAAATTTTGACACTCGGCCGGTAACTGCGCCACGTCCTTCCCCAGGAGGCGAGACTGTCGAGATCGAATTGCAGCCCGAAGTGCCCGGTAGGGTAGTGCGTGTTGGATCCGATATGGATGTCGACACGCGCTGCCATTTAGTGGAATTTTTGCGAGAAAGTGATGAAGTATTCGCTTTCTCGGCTGACGAGATGCCCGGGATACATCCCGACGTCATAGTACACAAGCTCAATGTTGACAGGAGAGCAAGACCTGTTCGATAGAAAAAAAGGAACTTCTCAACAGAGAAAATGGAGGCTATTCAGTCAAAGGTGAATAAGTTGCTAACGGCCGGGTTTATCGAACCCTGCACATACCCCGAATTGTTAGCAAATGTGGTTATGGTAAAGAAGCCGTCAGGGAAGTGGAGAATGTGTGTGGACTTTACGGACTTGAACAGAGCCTGCCCGAAAGATTGCTATCCTTTGTCGAGGATAGATAGATTGGTAGATTCAAATTCCGGTCACGCGCTATTGAGCTTCATGGACGCTTTCTCCGGGTATCATCAGGTCAGCTTATATGAGCCGGATCGAACCAAGGCGGCATTCATTACCGATTCCGGAGTTTTCTGTTACAGGGCTATACCGTTTGGATTGAGAAATGCAGGGGCCACGTATCAGAAACTAGTCGACAAGGTCTTTGAGAACTAGAAAGGAAGGAATGTAGAAGTGTATGTGGACGATTCAATTGTGAAAAGCCGTTTGGCTACAGATCACGTCGCTGATTTGAGGGAAACTTTTGAAACCCTTCGATGCTACCGGATGAATTTAAACCCGGAGAAGTGTGTGTTCGGCGTCCGGTCAGGAAAGTTTCTCGGGTTCATGGTGAGCGAAAGGGGTATAGACGCTAACCCTGATAAGATTGAGGCGATTCTTAGCTTACCAGAACCAAAGTGCATAAAAGATGTTTAAAAGATGACCGGTCCAATGGCTGCGTTAACGAGATTCATCAACAAGTCAGCTGATAAAGCCCTACCATTCTTTGTAATCTTACGTCAAAACAAGCTGTTTGAATGGGGGAAGGACCAATCCAAAGAGTTCTAGGCTGTGAAAAATCACTTGAAATCCTTACCCACCGTCGCAAGACTGGAACAAAGAGAAACATTACAGCTTTATATCTCCGCCTCAGAAAAGACGGTAGCAGCGGTGCTCCTAGTAGATTGGCAAAAAATCCAACTGCCAATTTACTTCGTGAGCCACGTTTTAAATGCTGCCGAGAGAAGGTACCCAGTAGTAGAGAAGATCGTGTACGCAGTAGTTGTGGCTGCACGAAAATTGCGTCCTTACTTTGATGCGCATGCAATTGATATCTTAACGAATCAGCCGTTAGAGAAATCTTTGCAAAAGATGGAAACATCTGGCCGCCTGCTTAAATGGGCGATTGAATTGTCTGAATATGTTATTACATATAAACCAAGGGTATCAATCAAAGCCCAGGCTTTGTCTGACTTCATTGTCGAAACGTCCTATTATGAAGAGGAGGATGATGCCGGCACGTGGAAAGTATCAGTTGACGGCTCATCTACTTCAACCGGCTCAGGAGCTGGGGTAATTATGATCTCTCCCCAGGGAGATGTGTTCGAGTATGCTGTTAAGTTCAAGTTCAAAGCCTCGAATAATGAGGCAAAATATGAGGCAGCGTTAGCAGGGATACAGCTGTGCATATCTGCGAAAGCAAAGCGCATTGAGATGACAACTGACTCGCAGCTAGTGGTAAATCATTTCAATGGCACTTACGAAACTCGAGAGCCAAGCATGACGGCATATTTGGCAAAACTCAAGAGTGTTACTTCTGGTCTGGAATACATCGAAATCAAGTTGGTTCCTCGAGCAATGAACACACAGGCAGATACCTTGGCTAAACTCGCAAGTTCAAGCTTTAATGACTTAGAGAGGACAGTTATGGTAGAGGTTTTGAAAGAAAGAAGTATTAATGAACAACCTCCTAAGGATGTATATTGTACAACTGCGGGACAAGAATGGTATGACGATATCTTGGCTTACAAGGTACATAATTCCTTCCTGCCGGTAAGACGGAGGCAAGAAAGGTCCAGAAAGATAGCGTCTGGTTTATCATGTTCCGAGGTTTGCTATATAAACGGGGGTTTTCATTACCGTTGCGACGATGTATAACGGCTTATGAGTCGGCAAGACTGATAGAAGAAATACACGAGGGTGATTGCGGTAATCATGCGGGGGGTCGGTTAATGTCCTTGGAAGCAATGAAGAGGGGTTATTATTAGCCGATAATGAATGCGGATACCATGGAATATGTTAAAAAATGTGATAAATGTCAGAAGTACGGGTCAGTGATTAATCAACCTCCAAATGATTTAACACCTATTCTTAACCTAATCCCATTTGCTCAGTGGGGGATGGACATTATCGGGCCATTTACGTCAGCAACAGGTGGCCGTAAATTTTTGATTGTGGGGATAGACTACTTCACCAAATGGATAGAAGCAGAACCGGTAGCAAAGATTACAGCGAATGAGGTAAAAAAATTTATCTGGAAAAGCATCTTTACGCAGTTTGGACTACCGACATAAATGGTGTTTGATCATGGATCACAATTTTACTGTAGCCCGGTAAAGAACTTTCTAAGCATATACAAAGTGAAGTTTGCGTATGCGGCAGTATGTCACCCGCAGTCAAACGGCCAAGCTGAGACCGCTAACAAGCATATACTAGGGGCAGTTAAGAAAAAAGTAGAAGACGCTAAAGGCTTGTGGGCAGATATGATACCTGAGATTTTGTGGGCGAATCGTACGACAACAAGAGAAACTACGGGGGAATCTCCTTTTAACCTCGCTTACGGCTCCGAGGCAGTGGTTCCGGCGGAAGTGGGACTACCTTCTTTTCGGGTACAACACTTCTGCGAAAGTCAAAATGATTTGTTGCTTCAACAGCAATTGGATTTTCTACCGGAAGTAAGGTTGACGGCTGCCATAAAATCTTTTCGTTTTTTAAACATTCTTGTATGACATATTGTACATACCACCACCGTGTTCCATCGCAAGTGAGCACGTCAGTTTTACTAACGCCCTCACTTGGGGGGCTAGTTGTACGGGATATACTGGTAGAATCATAATATGCCGGTAAAAGAGTCTCGTGCAGTTTAAAGCCCTTGTTAATCATTGAATAATTCATGTCCTTACCGGCATTAGTCTCTACCATGTGTAGAGCTGCTTCTCGGAACGTGGCATGTCCCTCTGACACGTGGAGAGTTGCTTGGTGCCGCGTAGGCACCTGCTACTTACAAGGTCAGTGTGCCACCTATCTGTATAGGTGGCACCTGCTTGGTTGTGTTCCTATAAATACCCAAGCAAATCCTCATTTCAAAGGTAGAATCTCTCCCTCTCTAAAACACTTTCTTTCTCTTCTTTCACTTTCTTCACTTTCTTCTCACAAAGGTACTGACATTAGCATCGGAGTGGTTATTCCCGGATAACCCCCGGGCTAGCTAATCTGTATTGGCTGTGTAGGTGAGCAATTGGACGGTAAATCATTACCAGCCCTCAGACATTAACGGAAGCAGAATCCAGCAGGAACAGTAGGTTTTTTTTTATTGTTATTTAGCAACTTTTAGTTTTCTAACTAAAGTTTTATGCAATCTTTGATCTGAAAGTATTATATAATTTGACAACTTTTTGTTTGTTGAAGATTAAAGATAAAGATTGTTATTTGTATGCGTAATGTAACTGTTTCTTGTTCTTCCTATTCAATTCTTAGTTTTTTACTTCATTTTTTTTTTTAATTTAGCTTTATTATTATACTATAACTTAATTTTATGTTGCATTGTAACCTTCTATTTGTACAGATCTGGAAGAAGCCTTATACGGAGTTTAATATTTTTTTTATGTTTTTCTTTTTTCATTCCAAAGTCAGTATAGTATCAAGATGTAAGTTGTAAAATTTTAATCTTTTGTCAGTATTGTAGTTTAGGATTTTTTTTTTCTTTGGTAATTTTTATGTATATTTAAATTATGCAACATCATGGTTGTTTTTTTTGAAATTATGTAATACGAAGTACAACATTATGAATAATATAGCTTGGACAATGATTAAATTCAAGGATAAAAAAACTTAAATGGTTTGATTCAAGGCTACAAAGCTTAATCGGTTTTCAATATGAAAGGATAATAA